TACTCTGCAGCACTAGGAACAAAGATTTGTAATATATAATATGGGAGAGTATAGACAGTATTAGATGAGTGAAATAATTCTGTCTCATAAGGATAAATCCTGCATAAGACTATTATTGTAAAAATAGAATGGTAACTGAGAAATAAATATATATATGCTCAAAAGAGGGGGAGGGGAAAGGGACAGAAAAGGAGAAAGGAGCAAATCACTAAGACACAGAACACAGCAGATGTTAGTGGGAGGGTGAATGAATAGAAAAGATTCAAAGGGAACTTGAAAAGATGGGGTAATAAAAGGCATACATCAATAGTAATTATATAAAATACAAGGTGTATGAAAGATCTCATGTCATGTTGTTATGTACCTTAGAGGCGGAACCGACCCATATGTGACCATCCGTAAAGTTTTCAGAGGCAGCTGATTGCACAGGAAGAGACTGTGCATCCTTTTCCTATGGAGCAGCTGGTGGTCTTGATCCACAAGCCATCAGGATTGTAGTGCAGCTTCTTGCCACTAGGCCACCAGAGCTCCTGTGTTGTGCAGATGATATAACTTTGCTTGCTGAAACTAAGGAGGACCTGAAATACTTGCTGTAGAAGGTCAGGGACTATAACTTTCAATATGGACTGAAGCTCAACATCAAGAAAACAAAGATTCTCACTACTGGGCAGATTGGTAGCATCATGATAGATGGTGAAGAGATTGAGATTATTAACAGCTTTAGTTTGGTTGACTCCACAATCAACACTCTTGGTACCAGGTGCCAGAAAATCAAAAGACAAATTGCACTGGGACAGTCGGTGGTCAGGGACATCTCCTGAGTACTGAAGAGCAACAACTTAAGTCTGGAGATTAACGTGATTTGGGCCATGGTGTTTGTAATCACTTGCTATGCATCAGAAAGGTGGAAAATGACTAGGGAATGATAAAAGGAAAATTGATGCCTTTGAGCTGTGGTGCTGGTGAAAAGGACTGAATAGACCATGGACCATTATGAGAACAAAGAAATTCATCCTGGAGAAGGTGAAATCAAGCTGCTTCTTGGAGGCAAAGATTCTGAAGCTTCGTCTGACATACTCTGGACATGTTTCAAGGAGGAACCAGTCCTTAAGAGAGAGAGACATCATGCTTAGGAGGGTGGAGGGACAGCACAGGAAAGAAAGACCCTTAATGAGATGGACTGACTCAGTGACTAGAGTAACAG